GGGAAGCAAACTTTAATTATTTCCTTAATTACATAAAGACAGTGTCCCAGTTAAAATATAATTGATTTATTACTTTAAGTCAACTTTCTTATTTTGCAAAAATCACTTTATTTAATACTAATGATAAAATGATCTTTTTAAGATTTAGAAATTAGCACTGCTTATTTAAAATTTGATCTTTATTAGTTAAACATTAATCAAAGTTTTAGACCTTTAATTAATGTTTTAACTCTCAAATTTATAATTAAGCATATATATTTGTATATCCTTTTTCTTTTTTATGTAAGTGAGGCAAGTCGTTCTAACGAACCTTCGGCTTTAAATAATTTTATATAGCAACCTGTGTCAGAGGATGACATAATAAATATTAATTTCAATTCTTTTAATTATTTTTTTAATTAGAATTATTGAGAATGCAATAAAATAGTGGTAATTTTTATAATTTATACATTTTATTTTTGTTAGTTCATTGTATTTTTATAATTTTTTTTTGCAATTAATTCCCTAATAGATTATTTATATATTTAATTTTAAATTCTTTATTTTTTTTTAAATATTTTAATCTGATCAGTAACTAGTATGTTATTATACAAATTGACTAAATATTACTTTGTCGTAAATTAATCTATGTTCTCTACAAATAAAACTGCACAAAAACACAAAAACCTCGTTTTGTCATTATTTTTGCATTAGTAGTCAATAATCAATAATATTAGCGTTGCTTGCTCGATGACCTCAAACATTTTTAACTTTTATAAAAAATTGTAAATTGATATTTTATATTTTTAGTTGTTTTAGAAATTTGTTGAATAAATTTTTTATTAATCGTTTCCTCAATAATTATTTCAATAATTTTATTAATTATTTATTTAGTATGACTTTGCCTGAATTTTGGCCAACCATAAATTAAATTTAAAAAATAAATTAAATAAAATAAGAAAATATCTTATACATTTATTATAATTTAGTTTAATGTTTCGCATTTTTCCAGAATAATGTGGATATTTCAACAGATGTGAAAATTTGAAATAATGATTTAATTTTGACAGTTAGTTTTAATTACTAATGCGTATTACGTATAACACAATTGTGACAAATATACAATTATTAAATACAAGTCTCATGGTGTTTGCAAAGAATAATAAAGTTAGATAATATTACTGAAGAATAAAAACAAAATATTGATAAAAATCTATTATAAGAACTAACAAATTTATTCAGCTATTAATCGACCCCTTTGAAAACCTCAACAATCCAGCGAGAAGCTAATAAAAAACTCGATGACGCTTCTAACACGAGCATATAGAAAATATTACATTGCCTTATTACTATGATCCTATGATCAATAGTACTCGTATTTTATTAAATAGAATTTTTAATGCTTGTAATTATTTCAAAATAATTAACTCATATAGTTCAAAAGAATTATATTGAAAGTTACTGGTTAGAAAATAATTTCAATGAATAAATATAAATAAAACTAAAAATTACTATATTCAAAATTTCAAGATACGACAGTCAACTAACGAATGGAGGCAATGGTATTGCACAAGATTTGTAAGAATATATGTCAATATTAGGTACCTAATTGGGACACTCGCATTATTTTAATTTCTTGTGCTTAAATATAAAAACTTGAATCCCCTCAATGATTTATTCGAAATTGTTTATATTTTAGATAAATAAATAGTTTGCATATCTTATCGTTAATTTTTGTTTACTGAATTTGTTTTTTAATATTGCATCACTAGAGCTATAATGGGTCAATTGGTATAAATTATTTAAAATTAAATGTGACTAATATTAAATAAAAATACTATATAAATACAAATCGCGATCTATTTCAATGCAGCAAGATAATAAAAATTTAACGGAATCCATTGAAAAGTTAACCTTCACGGCTTGATTTGGATCGAAAAGTGCTGCGAGTGTAAAACGAAGGCAAAATGAATTGGAATCGAAATTCAATATACAATCAAATCTTTTTTCAACAATTCGGATAGATTTGCTGCTAGCTCTTTAGAGTTCTTACAATTGTTCTTTAGAGTCAAAAATTTTAAAATATTAATAAAAAAATTAATTTTTGTATTAATCTTCAGATAAAAATTTCTGTAAACTTTGTAAGAAAATGATAAAAAATATTAGTTGAAACACTTTTATAGCATATCTCCTGTTTTAAAGCTATTCCAATGCCGAATTATCGAATATGTTAAATTTACTGAGATTATATTTTGTACTCATTAAGAGGAATGGTTGGATAAATTTTACTTCACCCTACAATATTGTCAGGGTCGACACTTGCGTGAACTTAAGTTTGAAGTCTATTGTAGCAGTCCAAGTTTCTCTTTTGTTAACATTTCTGGTACCAAAAATGTGTTTGGTTATGCTAACAAACTAGAATTTAATGATTTATTATTATTATACTTATTCATATTCGATTTAACTTATTTTTTTGGTTTTGCTAATCAAGTTTACCGGCAGCTTCTCCCCAGGCTACATGTTTCTTGAGACCTCTCTTGTGTACTGAACAGACCGTGTAACTTGTTTCGGTTTGTTTGATGAAATTTTTATCTCCTTTGTACCCTAAGTTATAAAATCTATGTTTATTTAATTTACTGTATTTTCAAGTTTCTAATTCAATAATTGATCAATAATTGAAATTAAATTCAATAATTGAAATCTAATTCAATAATTGAAATTATTTTAACAACTATTGTCATCTTTAAACTTTAATCATCAAAGTTTAGTCCTTTTAAATTCGATTCCATTTTTATTTTTTCATATTCAATTTAATCAGGAAATAACGTTCCATGATTCCTCTACCTTATATTTTTTCGCAAAACAAATTATTGTTGTACTTGTCATGATTTATGAAAATAATAAAAACTAGGTTATGAATATTATGCATATAGACAAATATATTAATGTTTTTAAATAAAATAAATTATAAATTTTATTTAAAATGATAAAAAATATTTAAATTGATAAAAAATATGTATAATTAACCTATTCATTCAATTAGTGATAGATTAATCATTTTTTTTACATTTAATCACCAATTCATTTAATTATTTATTTTTCAAAGAATGAAATTGATTTTAAATTTTCATATGATATTGTAAGCCTCGGTTCAAGAGCCATAAGCCTCGGTTCAAGAGCCATTGTGGTCGCAGAGTCTGGATTTTCCAACAGGACACTGCTCTGGTACACAAAGCGAAAGAAGTTCAGGACTGATGCAAGGCCAATTTTCCTGGGTTGATTAGCGCTCAGAATGGCCGCCCTACTCCACCGATTTGAATCCGATGGATTATTCTTTTTGGTCTATTTTGGAGATCAGGGCCTGTGCTAAGCCTCAAAAAAGTTTGGAGTCTCTGCGCCGCTCTCTCACCCGAGAGTGGGACTTAATTACACTCAAAGAGGTGCGTGCTATTTGCGAAAATTTTTCTTCGCGCCTTCGCCTCTGTATCAAAGCCAAGATTGGGCATTTCGAAACTTCTTGATTATTGTTCCTTATTTAATTCTCTATCATTTGATTGTATTTCGATTTTATTTGATTGTGTTTTAATAAAGTTATGAGAGAAAACAAGTGTCCGGTTACTTATGGCGCACCCTGTAGTATTGCTATTATTCTATTAACCAGTTTTGAATTTAAAATTAGAATTAAAATTTATTTTTCTGCAAAGAATTTGGATATTTATATTTTAATAAAGTTATTATAAGATTCGATAGAATAGAATGGAGTGATAATATATAATTAATTTTTAATAAATTATATATAAAAGCTGAATCAAATATCTTCTTTTATATAATATTGTTCTATGTCAAACTATCTAGTATATTATTAATATTAACTTTTTATTTTTCATCTTTTAATTTATTATCAATTATCACAATTACTCGAATGTCACAAATTTTCTATTTATTTTAAATTTTAACATCTTTTTTATAGTTTAAACGTCTCATAAGTTATAGGATTTAACTACTCATATTTATATGCCAATCCAGATCACTCTTCTTTTTCGCCTTCCAACACAGATATCGAAGTTTTTAACTAGAAAAAGTATGGTGATACATACATAATTACTGTGTGCATACTGATATTAAAAAAGCGTAGTCCTCAATTTTCTTCCACCAGTCACAGAAACTTAAATCATTTTCAACTAAAAACATTTTCTTCTTGTTATTCGCTAAAAATTTCTTAATTCTTTAGCTTTTCCATCACCTATCAATAATACTGGACTACTAACAGTAAACTTTAGGTAACTAGCGAAGGTGCTCGCCCTTCGGGCGAGCTCCTCCGCTAGCCTAAGTCTAAATCATAACAAAACTTAAAAGTCAAATCAAATCATTTCCAGAGATTCTTTTCCATTGTCGAAAACTAATTCGTTCAGTTTTCAAGTTAATACGATCAACTATTAACTTTTCGACCAGAAGCTTTCAATTGATAGGTGTCGAGACCTATCAATTATTAGCTATCAACTTTTAACATCAATTATTAACTATTAACTAACAACTTTTAGTTGAAAGTTTTTTGAGTAACTATCAATTATTAACTATCAACTCTTAGTTGATAGATGTTCGAGTACTTATCAATCATTAACTATTAATAATTAACTATCAACTTTAAATTGTTAGGTGTAGTAACAAACCCCCTATTCACATTTCCCAAAGGCCGGTATATTTTGAAACTTCTTACACTTGAAACATTTTACATTTACTTTTTAAATAACAAAACAACAATTTACTTTAAAATTAACAACAAAAAGAAAATCACTTTCAAGAGTGCTAAAGAGATCATATCACAAAATTCAGTCATTTCTTCTGACTTTTAATGTCCACTTCAACAGTCTCAAATTCTTCACTTTTACGTTTGACTGGAGTCTTGAGTGGTTTGTCAAATGGGCACAAAACAAAGTCTGTATTAATGCAGATGTCCTGAACGGAAGCATGCAGTTCCAAACACTCATCTTAATAAAAAAATATATTATTCCTTAAAACCGTTAAAAACCGTTAATATTGACAAAACACTTGCTAAGAACAACTTGGTTATATTCTTTTCCATTTCCAATTTTCTCAGCTAAAGCTTCTCCAGAAACATATAAATCACCCCTATGGCCCTTTAAATCACCAACGATGGCACAAACTTTAGTCTTGTCGTAAGGCATAAAAACAGTAATTAAAACGCATTTGACTTCTAAAACGCATTTAATATTAATAAATAAAGATTATTAACTAACTATAAAATTCCCCTATCTTCATTTCAGTAAAACTGTCGACGCTTTTTGCAACACTTTCCACCAAATAATATTTAGAATTAGGCTGCACAATTAATTCAAAGTCGAATGGCGTAGAAAAATACGTCTTCCCATCAAACCGGCTGACATCAAAACGCTGGGCTATTAGCATCAAAAAGGATACAACCTATAAAATAAACATAGAATATCAAATAATCTGATAACCTACAGATCCCAAAGTACAAATCTTTCCAAAACAACCATCTACTGATTTCTTAAAACCGGTTACTGCAAAAATTCTCCATTCGAACAGGCACATAACAACGTAATTTTCTTAGCACTGTCCATGACCTTCATTATCTGTCCACAGCAATTACTAAATACATATTCATTAAAACAAGTTCAAAAATAAAAACTTACGCCATTTTCGATCCACATGGAATGGATTTCAACATTTCCTCTGAACTAAGCTCTTCTAATTTGTAAGACTCGGCCATTTTACATTAAAGGTTTCAAAAAAGCTAAATCATTTAATCTTTATTTAGTAATCATTATTTCATTATTATTTATTTAGAATCTGCTTAACAACTATTAATGATCCATTTTAAGCTATTAACTTCAACTATTAACTATGGTTCAACTATTAACTAAGATTATCAACCTTCAACTATTAATATCAATTTAAACTATTAACTATTAACTCACTTTTCAACTATTAACAATGATTCATATTAAGTAAGATCTTCAACTATTAGCTATTAATATCAATTTCAACTATTAACTCAAGTTTTAACTATTAACTATTAACATCAATTTAATCTATTAACTAAAAAAATAAAAAAAAGTCAACTCAAATTCTAAAAAATTCATTTTTTCTTCACTTCTCTAAATACACCCTATTTTCTTTTTTTGGGATATTTTGTAATTTTTAAACAAAAAATAAACACAACGCCAAACACAGCAAAATTCAAAGCTGCGGACAAACAAACAAACAAACAGGAATTCTAAAATTATATATAGGACTATTAATTTTTAACTATTAAATATTTTACTATATGCTTTTTATATATTTTTTTACTATATACTATAACTTTTTTACTATATATATTACTGTTAGTTAATAATTAATAGTAAAAGAACTTTTTTACTACATATACTACAACTTTTAGTTAATAGTTAATAGTAAAAGAACTTTTTACTATATATACTGCAACTGTTAGTTAATAGTTAATAGTAAAAGAACTTTTTTACTATATATAATACAACTGTTACACTACAACCGTTAGTCACTCTAGAACTCTCAAATATTTAGTGTCACACAATGTCAAACGCTAGGACTATCAACTATTTAGCATCACACTATGTCAACCTTGCTAATACTATCAATTATAAGCTATTTAGTAAAAAACAAAACTCACAATAAAGCCAACGGCTGGACACTCGCTTTGAAATAGAAGATCAGCACCGAAAACAACCTGTTGGACAATCACTTTGTTTAAATAAATGATCTTTTTGATTTTGAATCTAAAAACAATTTTTAAATAAAACAAATTTTAACAAATAAAAAAACAAAACAATCAAACCACATCTTAAATACAATTAACAAACAAAAAACTTGAAAAAATAAAAAAAAATACAAAACAAATTCTAAAAAATTCACATTCTTTCTTTACTTCTCTAAATACACACTATTTTCACTTTGGGATATTTTGTCATTTTTAATAAAAAATAAACACAACGCCAAACACAGCAAAATTCAAAGCTGCGTACAAACAAACAAAAATTCTAAAATTATATATAGGATACTACAACTTTTACTTAACAGTTAATAGTAAAAGAACTTTTTTACTACATATACTACAACTTTTACTTAATAGTTAATAGTAAAAGAACTATTTTACTATATATATTACAACTTTTAGTTAATAGTTAATAGTAAAAGAACTTTTTTACTACATATACTACAACTTTTACTTAATAGTTAATAGTAAAAGAACTTTTTTACTATATATACTACAACTCTTAGTCACTCTAGTACTCTCAACTATTTAGTATCACACAATGTCAAACTCTAGGACTATCAACTATTTAGCATCACACTATGTCAACCTTGCTAGTACTATGAATTATCAGCTATTTAGTAAAAAACAAAACTCACAATAAAGCCAACGGCTGGACACTCGCTTTGAAATAGAAGATCAGCACCGAAAACAACCTGTTGGACAATCACTTTGTTTAAATAAATGATCTTTTTGATTTTGAATCTAAAAACAATTTTTAAATAAAACAAATTTTAACAAATAAAAAAACAAAACAATCAAACCACATCTTAAATACAATTAACAAACAAAAAACTTGAAAAAATAAAAAAAAATACAAAACAAATTCTAAAAAATTCACATTCTTTCTTTACTTCTCTAAATACACACTATTTTCACTTTGGGATATTTTGTCATTTTTAATAAAAAATAAACACAACGCCAAACACAGCAAAATTCAAAGCTGCGTACAAACAAACAAAAATTCTAAAATTATATATAGGATACTACAACTTTTACTTAACAGTTAATAGTAAAAGAACTTTTTTACTACATATACTACAACTTTTACTTAATAGTTAATAGTAAAAGAACTATTTTACTATATATATTACAACTTTTAGTTAATAGTTAATAGTAAAAGAACTTTTTTACTACATATACTACAACTTTTACTTAATAGTTAATAGTAAAAGAACTTTTTTACTATATATACTACAACTCTTAGTCACTCTAGTACTCTCAACTATTTAGTATCACACAATGTCAAACTCTAGGACTATCAACTATTTAGCATCACACTATGTCAACCTTGCTAGTACTATGAATTATCAGCTATTTAGTATCACAAAATGTCAGAATCTAGTACTATCAATTAGTTAGTATCACACACTGCCAAACTATCTATTACTACCAAATATTTAGTACCACACAATGTCAAACGCTATTCAAAGTCAGCTATTTGGTATCACATAATTGGTATCACACTATGTCGACATTGCTAGTACTATGAATTATCAGCTATTTAGTATCACAAAATGTCAAACTCTAGTATTATCAATCACACAATGCCAAACTACTTAGTACTACCAACTATCTAGTTCACACAATGTCAAACGCTAGTTAAAGTCAACTATTTGGTATCACAATATCAAACAATCTACTACTAAAAACAATTTTGTATTACACTGGCAAACTCAAAAACTAAGACCTACCTAAAATTATGTAAAAAAACAAAACTCACAATAAAGCCACCGGCTGGACACTCGCTTTGAAATAGAAGATCAGCACCGAAAACAAACTGTTGGACAATCACTTTGTTTAAATAGAGCTGAATGTGCGTCATCTATAGAGCTGAATGTGCGTCATATGACAGCACTCCGAAGATGAGTTTTATCAATCCTTGTGAATATTATTTATGGCATTCCTTTTTTTTATTTTTTATTTAATATTTTTATTACCAGTGTTTCTTTAAAAATTATAAAAATAAATGTTTTCTTTTTGACTATATCTTTTTGACAAAATTGGGATTTAAAGCATATCTAGATTGGAGGAAAAATGTTTTGAAAAAAATTATGGCTATTATGTAAATTAAAGTTTGGCATATTTAAAATAATAATGGAATGTATAATTGAAATTTGTATATAACGTATTTGTAATTTAAGTGAAAATTTAAAAATAATAAATTAAATTGATGAATTTTGTGAATTTGCAAACTTTGTATTTGTATGAGTTAATTTAAAAAAAGGCTTATTTTTCTTTTAAAATAATTACAATAGTGAAATAACCTAAGTTAATATATTTCTTATTGAGTGGATAATATTAAAATCATTTAGTAATAGAATAATTACAAAAAAAATTGTGTTTTTTTTTGAGGAAGAAGAAGAAAAAAGGTTTTTGTAAAACAATTTGAAAGGGGAAAAAAATTTGTATATTTTTGAAACAATCAAATTAATGATAAAGTAAAAAAATTGATTTAAGTATAATAAAAACAAAATTATTAAAGGCAAAAAATAATGAATTTAAAGCACATTTTTTTAGTTCAGGCAAAAAAAATTTAACGGATTAAAAAAAATTTAATTAGGCTTATCTTTCAAATAAATTTCTTAAAAAGATTACATAGTTAAGTTACTATTTTGAGAAATTATTAGATCAAAAGAATTATTGAAAAAAAATTTAATGGTAGAGAACAAATTGAGATTTAAAAAAATTAGAGAAGAAAAAATAATTAAAACAAAAATAAATTCCAGCCATTTGTTCCATTGATGTGCAACATTAGTTGAGCATATCATGAGAGCTTTGAAAAAAAATTGTTTTTTTTTATAAATTTTAATAAAAATTAAAATGGCTTTCCTCTACCACCACGCCATGAATTGCAGTCTTTTGAAATATGACCATATTGACCACAATTGTAACAGCAATCCGAGCGTACAAAAGTTTTTCCAGTATACATTTTCCAATTGTTGCTCGCAAATGGACGTTTCCTAAAATTGAAATTGTTATTATTTGTATTTTCAAAATTTTTATTTTTATTTACAAACCATTCTTCTTGGTACCTGTTACCACTGCTTGTTCCTTGACCATAATTTCTCCATGAGTCATTGGATCGATCCTGAAAATTAAAATTTTCAACATTTTGACATACGTTTTGACCCTCCATGGAGAGAATTTGACCAAATCTGTCTCTTTTGACTCGACCTGACTGTAAAATATTTAAATAATTAGTTCCTACCACTGAAGTAAATTCTGTAGCCTTTTCTATAAACCTTGACCAAACTCTTCCAGATTTAAGCAACTCAATATCTCCTACTAGAAAGAGACCATGTTTGCTTCGACTTAGCGCTACAGTACTACGATTTTCATCAGAAAAGAATTCAGAGGAGTCCGTTGAGTTACTATCAGTACTATGAGAGCGAGTAGTCACTAGTATAATAAGATCCGCTTCCATTGATTGATAACCATCTACCGACACAGTGAGTACATTATATCCAAGTTTTTCAAATTCGATTTGTAAGCATTCTTTTTGAAAAAGATAAAGACAAATCACCACAACATTTACTTCAGGCGAAATGTATTCATACAATGATGAGACGAGTGTGACAACCGAAGTCGTTTGCAAATCATTTGTGAGACTATGAGAAACTACATCTTGCCGACACGAACCAACGACATTGAGTAGCACTATTGGACAACTTTGCATAGGCAGCGGAAACCGAGAATTCGTCAACAACGCTCTTTCATCTGCAGAACGTCCAGGCTCTAATGGTTCATTATGTATTTCATAGGCAGCATACGACACACACAACACTAGTAAAGGATGCATGCGGTAACAAACAGA